AAATAATTTGCACTTGCCCCGGGCTGCTGGGCAGGCCAGGTCGTAGAGCAGGTAGAAGGCTGTTGTTTTATTTCAAGTGTGACAGGGGCCCGACTAGACCTCTGTGCTGGCCTAAATGGGACAGAAGAATCAGAGATTTTCCTGTTCCATCTGGAAATGGAAATGGAATGGTGAGAGGTGATTTAGCATAAGTGACTCATTTTACAGATGAGAAAACCAAGACTCAGGAGGTGGAAGTGACCAGTCTAAGTTGTCAAAGACATCTATTACTAGCTATTTTCAGACCTGAAGCTAGGGCCCCTATTTCCCAACTCCTAAACCTAGAGCTATTTCCACCACCTCATAGCTGGCTTCACAAGTAGACATTGGGAAGAGAATTTCTGTAGACAGCATCAGTGTTCAGGAGCTGTGGACTCTATTCTCTCTCCTGCCACCTTGGAATTCCTTCCTGATGGCAGCCCAGGCTTTTCTTCTCCAGGTGATTACTTTCTGGGTAAGCCCATTTAGGGAGTTAATTGTTAACTAAGGCTCTCCCATATTATGACTTAAAGTGTGTGCACGCCTCTTTAAGTGACATTTACATTTCAATGGCAGGTGGTTAAAGACCTAAGAGGCTGCTAGAGTCAAAGGATTGTTTTTTTTTTTTTTAAGAAGGTGCAATCACAGGTTGGTATTTTGAGCTGGGACTCCTCGTGGCAGACCCTGAATGGACTTGAGTTTTTCCTCCCATCCCTGATCTAAATCTCTTTCATCTGCTAGCCTCTACTCTTGGCCACTTTGACATTCATTCATTCAACCAATATTCACTAACACCCACTAAGCACCAAACACTACTCAGATAAGGTCCCTGGCCTACATTCTAGCTGTAAACTCAGGGTTATAAGGACTAGGGTAGAGGAAAGAACTGAGTAACATGGGAACACATGTCCCAGACTGGGAAGGGGAAATGTCACAGAAAAGTTGCCTGGAAGAGATGCTCTGAATCTTCAGAGGCAAGAGTTAACCAGATGAAGTGGGTGGGTAGGGGAGGGGCAGAGCATCCCTGAGTAAAGGTCCAGAGGCCACAGTCCCAGACGCAGGTTAATGGACACCAGTTGAGGGAAGGGAGAGCTGCTTCTAGTCCAGTCCTTGGAGGGGGAAGAGGCCTCAGGTGTGCCCTTGGTTCTATTAGGGGTGTTCCTTCCTAAAGGTCATGGCCATGGTGACAGCCAGCCACTGATATCCTCAATGCAGAGCCTCGCTGTTAGTATGGGGGATGGGGTCAGAAACCTCTACATCCCCACTCCTAGGGGCATCATAGGTCACAAACTGGCAGCCTAGGCTGATATGCACTTTAAAAAAACAGCTTAACACTTTAAAAAAATTAGTTGCCATCTTTAGAATTTAGGGAGATGTCAAATAGGAGTCTACATTTCAGGTTTCTCTTGAAAAATTACAATATCTGGTATAGAGCTAATGAGTGGGGTCCTTTTCAGACAAGGCTTGAGCTGGCTCTCCAAGTTCATTGTAGCCTCTGTCCAGCTATCCTCATTCATTGACTGTCTGGCCTTACCCTCACCCCTGCTACCCACCAAATTTTAAAGGAGCTCTCCCTGCTGGTATATAAAGTAGTCCTTGGTCCAACCTGCCCAGCTATAACCTCCTCTTATCTGATGTGCTCCGGGCAGCCTGTCAGGTTTACTGAACCAGGGTTGAATTAAGGCCGCCCTTGTTTATGGCAATGAGGGTGGGGAGTGGAAGAGCCAGACTTCAGCTGGGAACAAAATGTCTTGGAGCTGGTGGGAGCTCAGAGAACCAGGCTTCTCTCAATCCAAGGGAAAGAACTGGCTGCACATCTGGGGTACACTTGTTTGTATAAGATCATTGTTATCCAGGGCCCTGGTAGCCTTTTAGACTAAGCTCAAATGGTTTTTTGTTTTGTTTTGTTTTGTTTTGTTTTTGCCAGCTCTGCAAAGAAATGGTGCAGAGAGAAAGCCAGAACTCTCCAGAACTCATTACCCTTCCCCTTCTCAATCTCCCCATTTCTCTCTTCTGGGAAGGGAGAGCAGATGGGTGTGATTCCACAGATGGGCAGGATGGAGGTAAGCAAAGTTGTTATTGGAAAATCCCTTTCCCCACCCACTTGGTGTGTGAATGAGCACGTAGCCGGTTTGGTTAATCTCCACAAGCAGAACATGAAGCCAACAGGTCAAAACTGCTCGGTGGTCAATGAGATCAGATATCTGGAAAGGACACTGTCCATTTCAGCAAGAATGACAAAGGTCAGACATCAGTTCATTCATTTATTTATCAGGTACTTATAGAGGCCTCTTGGTGTTAACTGTAGCTGCTCTTGGAGGCCCTAGTAGGAATTTTAATTTAATAATGGTTTCCTTCCAGTTATCAGAATGTCAGAGTGTCCTTATTCGTCTCAGGGCCAGTTCAGAGCCCATGAAGAGATGAGGTTAACTTCTACTTAAAACTACAATTCTCATTTATTTAGTACTTAAATGTGCAAAGCACTATTCTAAGTAGAATATGGATCTCATTTAATCCTCATACCATTTTGAGATAGGTTCTATTCTTAATCCCATTTTACAAATGGGGAAATGGAGGCCTGGTGAAGTAATCTGCCCCAGGTTTCACAGCCAGTAGGTAGGTGGTAGAGCTGAGATTAGACCTCCAGGCAGCCTGACACCAGGGCCTGAGCTCCTGACCTCTTTGCAGCACTGTCTCACTAGACCTGGAAATTGAAACCTTATCAGGCAGGAGTCTGATCCAAACAAGGGAAGATTATTACTGGCTTCACTTCCCAGCCCAAATGAACTTTTAGTTCAACTAACTGAAAATATGATAATAATTGTGCTAATTTGCTCTCCAGTAATTGCTAGGATAATGGAGATGATTTAGAACCAGAAGCTGAAGAAAGGAACAGAGTTCATCTAATCCACCCCCTAATTTCGGAGACAGGAAACTTTCAGGGTTTATACGAACTCACATAGCTAGCTAGGAAGAAGAACCTGGACCACAGCCCATAGATTCTACCCCCCAGCCCAGAACTCTTTCTACTGCACCACTCTTTGTTGGGCCGGGTGCCAGCGCTGGCTCGGAAGCCAGGAGTCCTCACTATCCTTCCGGACCACAGGCTACTCGAGGAACAGGTGTCAGCCTCACAGAAGTGGGTTTCTTCCCCCGGGGCTCGTTTGTTGCAGCACCAAGGACTTCCCCACCCAAACCTCCTTATCAGGAGCCAGGATGGGCTCTTAATCTGCAGCTCCCAGGGCCTTGTCTACACTCTTTGGGGCGGTGCTTATCACCCAGAAACAGCTGACCAAGCACAGGTCTCCCAGGCTGGCACTGTTTACCAAGTGGGGAAGCTGGGAGCAGAATGGACCAACCAACGCCCAGTCCCTGAACACATAAAAGCCACCAACTGCAATTCCTCAAGCAATTCTTGTCCACAGCCCCTATTCCCTCACCTGGCTAAGGGGTACTCTCCACTCCTATTGACATTGGTCAGATCTAAAGTAGATAACAAACTGCTTGATCACAGAACACTCTTATTTAAATTGAGGGACTGTTAGTTCTACCTAGAGCCATGAGAAACCTCAAGACCAATCTGCCATTCTGTGGTTTACCTGGCTTGGAAACAGAGGTGGGTGACAGTGTCCCCTTAACCCCCAGACAACCCTCCCTGAATTTCAGGCCGTCGACTAAACAATGAAATATCCTTCATGAGAGAAGGCTGTTAGGAAACAAGAAGTTAGATGCTGATTTTGTACTGAATAAGAGAAGAGTACACCAGGATGGCAAAAATTCGACCCTAACCTAATTTGTTAAGGACCTAGGTAGGTCCTTAACAAATGAGTACCTAGGACATTTGTGTTAGAAGCTAGACATGAAAATGGGACCATTCTTTTAAACAACTCCTTGACACAAGTGGGTCCCTAACCAATTCTATTTGTGATACAGATGAGCTAGCTTCCCTGACTCCCATCTCCTGGCTCACCTACCCTCCCAGTATATCACACACAGACTCCCAGGCCTACCTCCCACCTAAGACACCTAGGTCAAACTGCATGTTTGTTGATGAGGGTCATGGAGGTATGAAATGAAGTGTGTGTGTGTATGTGTGTGTGTAGGGTGGTGCCACTGCTCATGAGACAACATGTTTAAAATTTAGTTTAAGTATAGCCCACTTACAGCCAAGAAAAAAGATAGCCCAGGTCAAAAATGTACTTGTGACCTTAGTGCAAACTGCGGAGCTAGCAAGTGAAGTGGGGGTGGGGAAGCCTGTTTCAAAACCTCATGGGCAGAACCCTAGAGTCAGGGATGAGAAAGGGTGTTTCTATGTCCTTGCATAGATCCTATCTACATAGCCAGAGTTATAAGGGGTAACAGACCTATGCTCTTGGTGTTTGCTGTCAGAAGTAGCTCCTTTTTAGCTAACTGGTAACATTGGCCTTCTGTCACATGTTCAGCTCCAGTGCCTGTATCCTGAGGCCCAATTGCTCTTGTATAATAAGAATGGTGGTTGCCAAGTGGGAGCTCCAAAGATGACAAGAGAGCTTGACCAGGAATTTCGAAAAATTCTGCCCCAACCTGGAAAGGGGTTCAGTGTCCTCTGTTTACCATCCCAGTCTGTGAGCAGGCTGTGAGTCTTAATCATTTTTAATAATTTTAGTACCTAGCACATACAATAAATGCTTGCAGAATGAACTAATGAGTAAGGCGGAGGAAGAACAGGATGCATAAGATGAGCCCTGGCTAGACTGAGGAATGCTCAGACTAGAACACTGGCCCATCTAGCATTTTCACAGGGAAGTTAGAATATGCATTAAAGAAGGGAAGTAAGGAGCTATCTCCCAGGAAAGAGGGGATGCTTGGAAATGTCCCTACCACCTACGCGATAGGTCTGCTGAATCCAACTGAAGAGAAATACTCTGAGGCACAAAGGATCTGCTTCTGAGGGAAACGCAAATTAGTGATGTGGGAATTTTATCTTCTCTATACCACACGACTTCATCTGCTACATTTTTATTAAAGAAACCCAAAAAAAGTGTCCATTTGTCCATTTGTGCATAAAGCTGTACATTCTTCCATATAAAAACACTATTATACAATTAGTAACCTTCGTCTTTTCTGTCAGAATAGCTTACAAACGACTTATTTTTACGTAACGGGAGAGACAGGCCTGCTCAACAGTCCAGCTCTGGGCGTTGTGTTGTTTTTAAAGTGAACGTGAAAAAGAAGAGAGAAAAGATGAAGAATGAGACCGTGAGGCTGCTTATAAAAAGGCAGGGACCTGTTTGCAGACAAGACGCAACAGCAATCTGCAGTGATTCACAGCTTTGTTTCAACCCACAGACCAGAAAATGAGCTCTTGGGTCTACTGGCCTGAAGTTAACTTTAAAGCAATAAGGACTGGAAAAAGGATCTGGGAAGGTACTCGGGATCTGGAAAGTTGAAGAGGCAGTACTGGCAGGAATGGGTAGGGGAGTGTTTGGTAACTAGCACCCTTGAGTCAGAATTGAGTATTTAAGAAATCCAGGAAACGGGACTGGCAGTGGGGAGAAAGTTTCCTCACTAAAGGCAACAGCAGGAGGGTAGCCAGGTTGACCAGATGTTCTAGCTACATCCTTCTTAAGGTGATTCGGGTTTGGGAAACTCAAGGCCTTCTGAGGATCCCTCACTAATGTCACCGAGAAACTGAAGGAAGGAGATTTCTTCCCTGTGTAATTTTCCATTTTTCTCCAACCCAGAACAGTAAGTATTGCACAAGTCTATAGACAAATTTGGATTGTACTGAGAGAGACAGTAGCCTCTCCCACAGGTGCTCTGAGCACCAGGGAGAAAAAACAATGCCCAAGGTTTGGCTTTTAGTGTCAGCCCTACAAGAATACCAAGTAGTCCTGCAGAACTTGGGGCATTCTCCCATTCAGCCAAGGAATATCTACAAGGCTAAGCATCCAGCCATAGTCCTGAGGACAGAGGGAGAAATGGTTCCTTAAGCCCACCAGGGCACCAGGAGGTTGTGAGAGCCAGTTCTCCTCCAGATCCTCCTGGGACCCAGGAGGCCATATTGCACAGTGACTGAGAACTCTTGTCCTAGAAAATAGGGTAGCTCCATGACCCAACCAGAAGGGGAGAGGAGCGGTGGCGGGGGGGGGGCAGTTAGAGAGGAGTGTTGTGCTTTTAAAAAGAAGGCAGTATTCAAGGACCTGAAGTTCCCTGTAGCTTTTGAGCCACCTCTCAAAGGGATAATGGCAGCATCACGAAGACTTCCGTCTGGTTACAAAAAGAAAGGTTTTGGCCAAAAAATATCCCAGTGGATACTCTATGGGTCCCAAAATTCCAAATTCCATTGCAAATCAACCCCAAGGTATTTGCCACACATACTCACACATAGAGCAGCTCATAGCAAGGCAAAGGTTTTGTGCAGAGTGCCCTTCTCTCCCAACTCCAATAACCCTCAACCCCTGCCTCACTCCCCTGACTCCCAAAACAAAAAGCTTTATATTCTTGGTGGGAAGCAACATCTACAGCCCCCTGAGAATAGAATTAGAAACAAGTCATGATTTCAAGAAAAGCTGCTCTTGGACAGGACAGAAGGACAGAAGGACAGAAGGAATCAGGAGAGGCCTTTTCACTCTCTGCCTAGGATCTCATCAAAAATTGAAAGAGAAGATTAGGCAATAAAGTATGATTTAAGTCCAGGCTTGAATGCCCCTGAGTAAGAGTAAGAGAGGGGCCAGGGATGCAGGTGTCCTGGGTGAGAGGTTTGAACTCAGCCTCTCTTCTCTCCCCAGGGCAGATCCTGACCTCTCTCATTCACAGTTACTAACCTTGCTTGCTCCCTCTCACATCTTCCTGGGTTGCTAGCCAAGCTTCTCCCACCTCACCTTGGCCAGACCCATGCCCTCCCTGACCATTCCCCCCTCCCATTCCAGACACTGCCTCCCAGACTCAAGCACACAACAATTCTCTCCAAAGGCACCTGGGGAGGCCACTTCCAAGCAGCTCCCTTTAAGGATTTTTTTCTTAAAAAAATCTTTTGGTTTTTTTCCCCCCTTTTCTTAAAAAAATAATATATATATAATATATATAAATAACTCTTCACTTAAAGTACAATTCCCCAGGTAGAGGTATGCAGTGGCCTGTTGTCACAGCAGAATGAGTATAGCAGAGCGCCGGGTGGGGCGGCGGGGGATCTAACTGGAGACTGCCATGATGTAGTTCTTTGAGGGGCTGCTCCTGCCCAGCATCATTTGGTTCTTGCAGGTGAGGAGCCCATAGGAGGTGGCCACCGGGGCCTCCTCGTACAGGACGCAGATGGAGCCATCCTCCCCAATGCGGTAGGACACCTCGTAGGGGTCCACCCACAGGGTCAGCTCTCTGGGCAGCAGCTGGCGCAGCTGAGGCTGGCTGAGTCCAATCTGGCTAGCCACTTTGCTGATGATGGGGTCCATTTTGTGGTTGATTCGGATGCAGCGGTAGCCGGAGCCCTTGGATGGTTTTTCAGGAAACCAGTGGTGTTTGTAGTGCTCTGTGGAGACAGGACAAGGGGGATATGCACTGGTTAGAACAGTTGGGCCATGGATGCTACCACAAGGGGGGTGGGGGTGATGGGATAGGAGAGGAAGGGACCTAGTGATTTTAAGCAAGCAACATGGTTTCTCATGAGTTTCAGGACCCTCCTGAAACCCTCCTGACACTGTAGCAGAAAAAAAAATTACGGGATCTGGAAAAACCCCTCCTTCCAGGACAAGGGTTTATGTGTATCGGGAGGGTGTCCCAGAGCCCTGGGTCAATCCTCTGTAGCCAGTATATTGCCTTTGGCACATCCCCAGTTTAAGGAGGAGGGGTGTGACTGGGGCTGGCATGTCCAGGCAGGGCCTCTGGGGACCTATGAGCTGAAGTTTCAAGGCCAAGAAGGCTGCCATCATTGTCGGACCCATGTCTCCCACCCTGTGCCTCAGTGGTTCCCTCTGCCTTGAAAAGTCAGAGGCCTGTCTCAGCGGGTAAGGGAGGCAAAACGGGGATGTTTGGGTGAAACATACGTTGTTCCTCAGAAGGCAGGATCTGTGTGGGCACGTTCAGAGATGGCTATTGCTTCCCAAGACCGCCGGCCAACCCGCTAGAAACAGCTGGGAGATGGGTCTCTTCCCCTGCCAGCGGCTGCTTGTATCTTGTCAACCTCCTCCGTCTCACACGGCACCGCCCCCAACCCCGACACACGCCCGCAGAGCGCAGTTACTACGTACAAGGCTCTCTCTGTACCATAATAGGTGGCAGATGGCTAAGGGGGTGGGCAGAAAATACAAAGGGGGCCCGGATTCCAACTTCGACTGAGTCAACAGCAGACGCAGGCTCAGCGCCGCCCCGCGCGGCGGGAAGAACCACGGCTGGGACTCCAAGTTGTTGAGAAGGTTCAATTGCGCCTTCTTGTTCCATAAGGACCCCCCGGCCGGTCAGACTTTGTTGCCTGCAGGGTCTCAGGGTCCACTGAGGGAGATGAGCTCGCACTCAGACCCGCTGGTAGCCCCCCCCTCTTCCGGGACATAAGCCGGGGTCTCGGGATCGCACTCAGGTCTAGTGTTTGCGCCCGCGACAGCTTGGAGGGGAGCGCCCAACCAGAACAACCGCGGACCGAGACCCTAGAGCAGGGCCGAGGAGGAGAGACAGGACCCAGAGGAATGGGCGGAAGGTGGGGATGTGGGGGTGGGGGGAGGAGACTGCAGGCCGCCCCGGGAGCTGGAAGGAAACCGAGTCCCGGAGCTGCTAGAGTGGGGAGCCCTGCCCTAAGTGGAGAGGAAAGACGCCTCAGGCAGGGAGGAGGGCCGAACCCCGGTGTCAGGGTTCGACGGGCGCCAGGACCCTCCGCAATGTGCTCACCCGTCAGGGCTTCCTGGAGAGCTCCGCTGAAAACCTGAAGTCGCTGCTCGTTCACGCAGCCCCGGGTCCTCAGAAGGCTGGAGAGGAAACCCACAGCGGCGGCGATCTCCGGGAGCATGTCTGTTCTCTTCCCGGTCCAGCTGGCCTGGCTCATGTCGTGTGCAACTCTGGGAGCGGTGGCGGAGGCGGGGGTCAGAGAGAGGTCTCTGATGGGACGTGCCGAACCGTAAGCCTCTGCTCGCTCGCCAGTCGCGAGGGCTTTGCCCGGACTTTACCTGCTACACGCCTTTCATACTGTTGCGAGAGCCGGAGGAGCCGGCGGCGGAGTCCATTGGCCGCAGCCAGCGGATAGGGGCGGAGCCTGACGTCCGCCCCGCCCCGCGCGCCATCGGTCTCAGTCCCGCCCCCACCTACCGCCACCTCCTCTGCGCTGAGGTCATCGCCCGCTGACGTCAGTGCTGGGAACCGTAGCTGAGCTTGCAGGCTGAGGGAGGCGGGAGGAGAAAGGGGTGGGGGGGCCCGAAGGCTCTCTGGAAAGGAGAGTGGCGCTTCAAGCTGGGGATTCTCCGACCTCTCGTATTCTCCCATTCTTCCAGACAGGTTAAAGAACACCTCCAAGAAGAAGCCTTCGTTGACACCACCTCTACCAGGAGGTCGCCTTTTCTGATTCCCCCACTTTCAACCACACCCTGTCAGAACTCACCCATTTTACCGCTTTGCCGCGTTTCCCAACTAGTCGGAATGGGTTCCTCTTGGCTCTCCGGAAATGGAGACTAAGTATTCTATTTACTTCCACAATAGCAACTTCCCCAACAAGTTATGCTCTTCTACAGCAATGCCTTTTCTCTTGCCTAGAACCATCCGAGTCTTACCGACTGCTGGGTGGGTAGGGGTGGAGGGAGTGTTGCGAAATTTTTCAGTCTTCCTCTTCCACACGGGGAACCAGGCTCAGAACCTGGCAGCATCACAGGCACTCCTAGAGATCTGTTGAATGGGGATAATTCTTAATCAATATACCAGGGTCCAGCATACATAGGTGCCTCATACATATATGTTAAATGAATCAAACCCAGTGGCCTCTGCAAATTCTTATTTTCCTTGACCACCTTTTCCTGGAGGCAGTCTCCCTTCTTTTTCCTTGACCCCAGGTTTCTCTGCCTCCTTCCCCGGCTGTGTCTCCCCTGGATCTCTTCCTGTCCCCGTTCCCTCACTAGGTCCACTCACTCTTCCTTTTCTCTCCACTTTCTTTCCTTAGAGAGATTCTATTCATGTTGTCCATTTTGATGTTTACTTTTTTACTATTGACTTTCTTATCTGCATAGTCTGTCCACATCTTCTCTCATCCCGCCCCTCCTACCTGCTCTGTCTCTCCCCTTGGATGTCCAGCCACCAAATCAATGTCAGTCTAATACCACTGTCTTCTCCAAGGCCAGCTTCCTTCCTGATCTCCATTTCTATCAGATACCATCGGTTCCCAGTCACTCTACCCAGAAAACTCAGACTCACGTTTGGCTTCACCTTGTACTTTGCTCCTTAGATCCAGTCTCAAGACCTGTTGCTTCTTCATATCTAGATGATTGCAGTAGACTCTGTCAAATCCAATCCCCAAATCACCCTTCCCACTGTTAGTAGACTTACCTTCCTAAAGTTCTGCATTCACTTGCTCTTCTTTTGCTCAGATCATTCTGAGACACCCTCCACTTGTCTACTGCATTAAGTATGGACTTCTTTGCGTAATAGTTAAGACCTTTCATAATTTGGCCCCATCTATCTTTTTAGGTTTCTGCCACTTTGTGCTCCAAGGTGACTCTCATCACTGTTCTCTAAGCATCAGAGCAGCTCTGCATCCCAGAGCCCTCAACATTTGCCTATGATCCCTATCCCTGCCCTGTAATATGGTCCCCATTCCATGTATGCCTATATGTGCCTGGCATTGCTGCACCATGGCTCATGCCATTATCTCTTGGATACCTCACTGCCTCCTTCGCATCTTTCCCAATCCCTCACACTCCTGAACGCACAGCTTAAGCTTGGTCCTCCACCTTGAAAACCTGTGCTGACCATTTTCTCACTACAGAATTAATATTATCCATACCATCCATTTGGCATTTATAATCTGTTGTTTGATATTCTTAGTGATCTTTTTAGAGGTTGACATCTTGTTTGCAGACTGCTTGAAAACAGGTTACTATGCTCATATGTCCTACATTTCCAGGACACTTCAGGTTTCAAATATTCTGCTCCATTGCTTCATATAGCTCACTAAAATGCCCTGGAATTCTAGTATTTTGGCATTGAACACATCTCTTAGATGGCCTCTTCACTGGCTCCTCCACAAAGCTGGATCAGGCCAGGTGAGACCTCTGCTCATTGAGGGGGAAACAATTGTTACTGGAAACAGGGCTAGGACTGGAAACAAGATAACCTGGAGTGCATCAAACAAAAAGATCAGGTGTCAGCAAGACCAGAATTGACCAAGGTCAACCACCAAGGAGGCCAGGGAAACAGGTCAAGGTATAGACAGGTGTACAGGGTGGTTTAGCACCAAAACCTGAAAATACTTAACATCTTCCTGACTATGCTGTTGACTGGGGTCTGGTGTTCTGGGCCTTGCTTTAGTCCATAATTGACGGAAAAAAAGTCTTGTGACAGATCATCACCTGTTTTTTGACTTAGGAAATAGAGCTCTGTCCTTATGTAGGTTCTCGTATCACTCACCAGGTCACACAGCTAGTTCTTAATAGAGCCAGGACTGGCACCAGATCTGCTGACTTCAAATATGCCCTTTTTATTAGACCATGGAGTCCCTGTGCTATTACAATGGCTGCTGGTCCCACCTCATCCCACAGAGCTGTTCTAGATGATGATGCAATGAACTGGAGGGAAACAGCCTTCATTTTGGGACAGTAGCAAGGTCTTATCCCCCACATTCCCCCATTACCTAGGAAGTGTCTTATTCTCATCATTGGTGATTAGTTCTGAACTTTGTAGAGGGCAGTGATAATAAGAACCAGAAAGCACTTCACCTACTTTCTCATCCTCTCTTCTTTCTACACACAAGCCTAGGGAGAGGGAGTTTAATGTAGCCAACATTCAAAGTTTCCAAGTTACTCCACAGTGTAGTTGTACCCAACTCAGGATTTAGATTCTCGAACAGTTTAAGGCCAACTATTAGGGTGGCCAAAAAGTTCGTTCGGGTTTTTTGCCCCATCTTATGGTCAAACCAGAACAAACTTTTTGGCCAACCCAATACATTATAATAATCCAAATTACTTTTGGAATTTGCTGAAACTGCCCTTAAACTGCTAGGACCACGGTCCTTAGAAGCTCTAAAGTCCAGATTTCACTTCTTCTTCTGTTGCCTGATGCCTCCCTTTCCTCGGTAGAGCCAAGGCATAGTTCAAGCATCAGGATAAGGACAGTGTGTCCCTCCCTCCCTCTTCTCCTCTTCTTCCTCACTCCTCTCTTCCCCTCCCCCGAAGGGCCTTGAGTTGAATTTTGAACATTAAATGTCCTGACACTCTGCTGACCTGTGGCTCTACCTACTGCCAAGTGGGCAGGTAGTGGTGGAGCTGGGGGTGGATGCTAGTTTATGCCTCAACTGGATCAGAAACTTCTTCTGTACCATGTGACCCCTACCCACTGGCTCCCTTGGTCCTGGATGCCCATCTCACCCACTTGCACAGCCTACCTGTGTGGCCCCTCTAGAGTGACCCACAGCATCCCAAACTGCCCTCTTCAGACCAAATCCCCACCAGAACTGGGTCCCTCTCCTCAGGTCTCAGCCCTGGCCTTGTCTGTGGAGTCATCACACATGCCTTGCTCTCTACTCCCCAGTCAGGAGCAACCAGAACATTGTATGCGACTGTCTTGCTCAGCATCCTGCTGGGCCTGCAGGGTCTTGGCTTGGTTGTCAAGGCTACCTCCCAGTTTCCTGACCACATGTTGAAACCCGAGGTTGAGTAAAGTTGATCTGCAGGCAGAGCCTGGGCTGCAATATTCCAGGAAGATGACATCAGCTCACTGCTACACTGTGCAGTGTGTAGTTTCACTAGGTCTGTGTGTGAGTGTGCATGTGTATGTGTGTGTGTACGTGTGTATCAGTGTGGGTAGGAGGGCGGTATATATTTATTTGAGTGTACATACTGAAATGTGTATGATGTTTGTGGATAGGAGGGAATGTGGATATATGTTTGCAGGTGTTAACACGTACTTAGCATATGTTGAAGAACATCCTTTTGATGTGTGGGTGTTTTGTTGGAGTGTGTATTTTGGCAGGCATGTCTGAGTGTGGCTGGTATAGATGCTAATTTGATCTTTCCTCTTTTCAGGCCTCATCGGTGACAACCTTGCTCTGCGCACCAGAGCTGATAAGAAACATCACCCAGGGAGGACAGATGCCTCTTCTCCACTTTCTAATCAGAGTGGAAATACCACTAAATATATTCATAATTCTTTGCAAGCATCATTGGGTAACGTCCGGAACATCTTTTTGAGTTCCCTATCACCTTCTCACAAAGTTGTACCCTTCAAGTTCAGATCTAGGCCAGCCAGTCTGGGGGTTACTCTTTAGAATCAGGAACAGGAATCGAGGACAAAAAAAGATGACATTGTCCCTAGAAACTGTTAACAAAGACTAAGAAAGTGGGGATGTTAGCTATCTTTAAGTTTCTGTCTTTAAATCCCTCCCCCACCGCAAAGAGAACAGGGACAGAGACAGATAACGCAAAGATGATTAGGGTGGAGTGGAAAACTACCATCTGGACTGAAGGAAGGCCTGGTAGAATATAAATATGAAAAGGGCCTTCTAATCCCCAGGTCACAACAATTTCCAAGTCCCTAAGGACCATTTCTAAGAATGCCTTGAGGGCTGGAGAAGAGTCAGAAAGCTAAAAAGTAACCCATTTCTCCACTTGCTCTGAAGATAGATGCAAGAAGAAGATTCCATTGTATAAAAAGCACCTAAATTAAGCAACAGAAGAATTTCCTTATAGGAAAGTGAGCAACTAGGATATGCTAAACAAGATGTCTGCTCCAGTCAGGACTCAGACACTGAGGTACAGGGCACCTTTATAGTGAAGGATGAAAATAGCCACAGAGGGTGGTGGAGTGAAGTCTGCTGGCCCCAAGCAGCATCTAACCTGCAAAGTATCAGAACCTCAGCCGTCGCCCATACAGTTTCCAGGTGCTGAATAGAAATAGCCATGGCAGATGCAGGCTCCACCTGCTACTACCAACCTGGGAGCCCATCAGACACCTGGTGGCTAAAACAATCAGGGCCTCTCTAAGCTTTACTGGGCTCACCCATAGGCAAACTTGGGAGCCTGGGTGGGTCATGGTTCTCCA